TGTGGCCGTGTTCGTAATTAATATTACTGAGTGTTGGCTTTTTCTTTTTTATTATTAAGGCTTCCATTATTTTTTACTCTTTTTTACATATGGATGAGGTTATTATGTTTGTATTTCCTACTAGCATGTTTCGGGTGGAGTTTGGTTAGTTTGTGTGTGTGTTTAAATGAATTTAATAGAGCTGTGTTCAAATAGGTGCAATGTAAGATGTCTGGATAGGCATGTAGTCGTGTGATCGATATAATTATTTATGAATTCGGTTTGATCAGGAACATTTGAACAGGGCATTTGAACTTATAAATAATGTTCGTTTTAATTTTGATTTTATTGGTGTGTTGTTATTTCTGAGGATAAAGTTAGCTGTTTTAAATTTTTTGTGGTAGATAATTAATTTGATTTTTTTTGGTTCGGATTCAATTGGGGTAGTGTATTTCTTTATGATATTTCTAAGTGGAGATTCATCTTGCTTGCAGTTGATGTGCATATGGTTTTTATAGAAAATATTTATGTAATTTTTGACTGCGTGTTCACTATCGTTGTTATTTACTTTGGGGGGAAATAGTCTAATTTTGTGATCCAGAAGGTGGTTAGGGAATCCATTAAATAATGTCTGGTTTACATTATTGAGTCCTTTAAGGAAGAGTAGTCGAGAGGATGAATTCTGGTGTGCTCTTTTTAGGAAGTTTTTTATCACTGCTATTTTTTTATCTGAGTGTGCATTCACTTTTAAAGTTAAGGTGGCAAGTGTTTCAGCTAGTGTTTTTTTTTATATATATATAATGAAGTGATAAAAGTGTTCTTACTATATTCTACGAGAACGTCTAAGAATGGAAGTTTGTTTTTTTTACTAAGTTCGTAGGTAAAGTTAAGGACAGAGTTTTTTTCAAAAGTAGCCTTGAGAGTATCGATTTCTTTAGTGTTATTTGCTAAAATAAAAATATCATCTAGATGTAGATTTAATAGAATTTCTAAGGCTTTCTAGATTAAAAGATGACATGATTGTACCACCTGTTTTTAAAGTTACCCTCAGTACATCCTATGTATATTTTTTTCTGGGCATTTGTATCTAATACTTCTGCTTTAAAAATTACTGCTTCAGTTTTGCAAACTCCATCTAATGGACATCTATTTTTATTTCTAAAATTGCATATTTCACTGTTAACGATGTTTTGCTGCACGTTAGTTTTGACATTTCTGGCGTTTTGTCTTTTTATTGTGGTTTCTAAATTACTAGTACAGCTATAGCTTAATTTAACTTTGCTTTTGTTAAATATTTTATGTAACTTGGAATTTTGAAGGAATTGTTTATAAAGTAATTCGAAAAATATTTTCCCTATTTTACATTTGACCTCTAAATTAAAAGTGGGGTCAATATTTTCCTTTGCCTCAAATTGTTCTTCATTTGTTGTTTTATTTGAGGTTTAAATTCCAATTTGGTTATATGCCCCTCTTCTTTTAAAGTCCTTTCATATTCTTTCTTTTTATCTTCGAAAATCATTTTACTAGAGGAATTTCTAGATAACCCGGACTCTATTCCTTTGGGAATTTGCTTTATTATAATCGCAGGTTGGTTGGATCTAACATTAACGTATTTTAATTTTGTGTTGGCTTTCATGTATGGAAAGACACTGCCAGTTTGTAGATTTAATTGTACACCCAAATATTTGACAATTTTCTTATTCATACCGACTTTCTCTTTCAAAGTCGAGGCTTTTGAAGAGTTTGAAATGCGCTTATCTTATATTGTCATTTGTTATTCTGTTGTCTAGCACTATCATCAGTGCGTCATCCCTATACAGGCTGTGATTGTATATGTGTACAATTTTGTTGATTTCATATAAAATATGTAAAACTATTAATTCAGAAACCTCAGCACCGTCAAACGAACCATGTGGTACACCGAAGTCGTCCTTTTATGATTTTTTAATCCAAGCATCTCCATTGTGAAATAAAATTGATTTACAACAATGTAAAATTATGTCCATTTGTTCAGGTGCTATATTTACGAAGCTTTTGGCCTTTTTTATATATAGATGGATAAAAGTTTTTTTTATGTCGTATTTTATAAATACATATTTATCTTTATTTGTAATTATGTGGAACCAAGAAATGCACTCACCTGTATCCTTCCATTGATTGACTTGTGTAGCGATCATTAATGAATCGCACTTTTTTTTTTTTTTTTTTTGATTATTCCTTGGGTTATTTTACCCAATTCAGTTTTGGTTGGGTTTATTAGTCTAAAAGAAGGATTATTGGGGAATTCCTCTTTATGTATGGACCTTTATAGTTAGAAATATTTACCTACAGCGTAATATATGGACCCTGTCACTTATACTTAGTTTGGCTGTGATATTTTTCGCCTCCTCATTTATACTTTCAATGTACGAGTTTGATGCTTTTTGCTTCTTCATTTATTTTTTTCTGTTAAGTTTCCGAGTTCATAGTATAAATGTTCTTTGTTTTGTCTCCATTAACTTGGCTGTTTTTAGTTCGTTTTATATTTCTTTACTTCAGTAGTTAATAGTTTTTGAAAATTACTACTAACTTTTGTGAATTTAATTTTGTCTATCATAACAAGCATATCGTTTTCGAAGTAAGCCAATTCTTTAATAGCAGGCGGGTAATTTTTAGTTTTGAATTTTTCCGTGTTTCTTTGTTCTTTAAATATTTGTTTAATGAAAATAGTGCTTTCCATCTCATTCTAGTAAGGAATTGCTCACTTTTTATAATAAATTTAGCATATATATATATATATATATATATATATATCGGTTTTCGGCAGATTCTCTGAAACGGATTCTGACTGATAACCGAGGTTCCACTGTATATATATATATAGAAGGGCTAAATTTGATGTAATCAGACGGAGGTCGGATTTTTACTAATAATGCCATCTACACCAGGATTTTCACCAGCCTCAAAAACAACTGTTGGTAAGTCTCCCCCGTCTCTCTGTTTATTTCTCGCATCCGCTGATGAAGGTCACAGGCGTGCCCGAAAATTCCAAACTTGGAACCTTAATTTCCGTGCTTCATTTATGTCGTGTGATTAATAATTAATAAATGTTTTTCATACTGATCACATCGGTACCCTTTCGTTTGCCTTTTTGTTTTATTAGCCAACCTATCTATTCAATTTTAATATATATATATATATATATATATATATATATATATATATATATATATATATGTGTGTGTGTGTGGTACAATCCACAAAGATATCTGGACGTCTGGTTTAGAAAGCTTTGACAGATTAGTATCCAGTTAGATGGTCACAGTACATTATTACTGCAATCTTCTACTGGATTCAAATATCAACTGGAAGAAAAAAGAAACATTATATATATATATATATATATATATATATATATATATATATATATATATATATATATATATATATAGATATCTACAAAATTTACTACGGGGAACAGTCTAAGCATTTATTCGGAAGCTTTTTATTTTTATTCATTTATCTATTTATTTTTTTCATTTATTTTTGAACGGAGCCGTATTCTTTCGGCCATCCGCAGAAACGCTATTGTTGCTTTTAGATGACTGCTAATGGATTAATTCAATGCAGTTAATAATATTCGCTAGTTCGATTTTTGTTCTCTGATTTTTACTATTTAAAAAGAAACTATTAATATAATGGAATATAGCAGTCATTATATAAGTAGCTATTAATCTGATACAACGCTACAATAATGAAGAATTCATTCATTAGCAATGGTCTGCGATGTTAGCTTTGTAAATATTGGCCATCAGATGTCTAAATAGACGCATGTAGATATTCTTGATATTATAGCCTCACAGTACAGGCAAGAATCAATACAAAGATTTACTAATCTTAGTTTAGTCAGGTAAAAGACCACATGTTATGGAGTATATACTGATGATCAATAATTTGTATGAAGAGTTCACTCACCACTAATACACAATGAAGATTTTATAGATATGTATGATTAGATAGATAGATAGATAGATAGATAGATAGATAGCCGTGATACTTGTAATAGAAAACCATTACTTGAATTCACTCTGAATGCCATATACCTGCGGCTTTGTACTCTCTAAACTAATCATCAGATAGATAGATAGATAGATAGATAGATAGATAGATAGATAGATAGATAGATAGATGTACTGACTGAGAGAGAGGTAGGAGCGAGAGAGAGAAATGCTCGGAATGAGACCCTTATCATGCTAACTTTATTTTGGCATAAGAACATGGTTGCGTAAGACTCGGTGAAAAGCAAAGTCAACATGGCTGGTTTATAAGAACGGCTTACAAAACATTGGACCTTGTCTGATGTACACAGACATAGCATCCATGTAGATATTATAGATTTTACAAATGCACAGATGTAGCGAATTACAGCACTGTGTTCCACCAATATTTCAGAGTAGTCTTGTCTGCATCGAAAATCATAAATCAAAATACTGGCTTTCATCCTGGCCCCACCGTCTCCAGAATCAAACACAAAACTATGTCAGCTAGCAAACACGCAATAGATAGATAGATAGATAGATAGATAGATAGATAGATATGAACAGACTAAAGTTTTGAGCCGATTAATGAATTATCAATAGACAATTTGATAACAGAACAATAAAATTTTAGTTGTTAACGGTACAATTTAAAAAGCCTAAAATTAATGCATCTTGCAACAGTATTTATTAGTAGTATGGGTATTTTCTAAGTTTAATTTATTCTGATACAGAATCGCGAGAGTGGGGCATTCAATAAAGAGACAACTAAGATATTTACTAAGCTTAGCTTAGTGTAACAGAAGGATAATTTTGAATAAGTAATTATTGGAAGATTGTGTAGCACCAGTCTTCCAAGAAGGAAGAGTCTGCTTGCCAAGAATATGACAGTCGAAATTCTGAAGTTTTCTTGGGCTCGAACAAACATCTTTGGCACTGATCAGTTATTATTATAGTACCCCATTTTTTCATTTTCATATTCAAGATCCTTTTGGTTTGTCAGGCTTACGGCCATATCACGTTGAAACACCGGTTCACGTATGATCACCGAAGTTAAGTAACGTCGAGCAGGGCCAGCATGTAGGTGGGTTACTGTTTGGGAATACCAGGTGTTGTAAGCTTGGATGTGCGGGTGATGTAATTGATAACAACTGTGAATTGTTGTTCGGAGAGCCGAGTTCCAATTCCAGTTGGGTCCGTTATATTCATTATGCGCAAATACCCTTGGGAAAGGTATGAATTCACCTCCTCCTAGTTATATCAGACTTGTATCACTAAATCATTATTAACTTCAAAAAATATTTTTGCAATCTAAACAAATGTTTTTTCTGGCTTTAAATAACCGGAAAAAGGTTGATAAGCGGTAAAAAATTAGATCAATCAATCGAATTTTTTTGTCATATTCTTTAGCGGATATATTTTTTTATCTGATACTATTTTAAAGAGAAGATAATTTTTGTTTGTAATCTTTAATCCCTATGTGATCTGTTAGATTTTATGCGTCTGTCTATATGAATTGTAAAATCTAAATGAATAGTGACTTCATGGCCCACTATGACGAGTCCAGAGTTTGAACCAGTCATAGAAAGCTATGAAGCCACGTGATGTACTTCCCAATATTTAGTGCGATCAATATACTGCTCAAACTGTCATTGCATCCTTTCAGTGTCTAGATTGAATAACCAGATATTAAGTGCTTATTCTTAATCTTATTCTTCTTATTATTATTATTATTATTACCATTATTATTATTATTATTATTATTATTATTATTATTATTAAATGCAATTTTTCTTGTTTCAGATGTCATGATAGAAGTTACAAATATTGAGGTTCTAGCAATTCTGAAGTTTTATTTTAAAAGTCCTACCAGGATTCATTATTGGCGGTCATAATCTTAACAACATAAGATATGCAGATGACACAGTGCTTATAGCAGACACGGAAAGAAAACTACAAAAGCTCCTGAAGAAGGTAGTGAAGGAAAGCGAGAAGAAAGGACTAAACATCAACTGCAAGAAGACAGATTGCATGGTTCTTAGCAAAAGGATGAGCCCCAAATGCAAGTTACAAATCGGAGATACCAAAATCTCTGACGGGAAGTGTGACACTGAATTCCGAAAACACATTGGGATAACCAGATATATTCACAAAGCTAAGCAGAAACATGAAAACTTCATTAGAAACAAAGAAAAGAGTACTAAACTTTTACGTGATGTCTGTCCTCTTATATGACAGTGAATGCTGGACAGTTTCCTCAAACTTGAAGCAACAGAAATGTGGTTCTACAGAAGGATGCTAATGCACCAAGCATGTAAGCAACGGCGAAGTTTTAGAGAAAATCGAAACAAAAAGGAAACTTATACTTAACATCAGGAAGAGAAAATTGGTATTTCTAAAGCACCATAATCAAAAAAAGAGGGCTTGAAAAATCTGATACTCACAGGACTGATTAAGGGCAAGTGAGATAAGAAAACAACGCATAAAATATTCAATTGATGATGGAACAGGTTTTTTTTGTTTTTTTTTTTTGAGTAATAACAAAAAGACAAAATTTATTAAGAGCTACAAAGGACAGTAAATTGTGGAGAGTCATGGCGCTTAGGTCTTGGGGGATACGGCACACAAAAAAGAAGTGCCTCAAGTGTTGATAGGACTACACATGCGCACGACAGATGAGTGCTAGAAATTTTTTTTTTTCTAGCAGAATTCAATTAGAGTCTTTTTCTTTCTATTGCTTTTGTAAATAGGTATTCCACACTGTGATATTAGAATATCTGCCGGGAATGGTGAAATGTTGTAAGAGCCAGGGCGCAAATTTACTGTTGATGACATTGCGATTAAGGCACTCTCTAGACATTTACGTTGTAGTGAATTATTTTCTTCTTTGATCAGAGTAGCATTTGTTATGTCAACGTTGTGTTCAGTCTCGTTACGGTGGGCAATCAATGCATTTGATATATTATTTTGTAAAATGTCTCTTTTGTGTTCATATAATCTTTTTATTTAGATTCCTTGAGGTTTCTCCTATGTATTTTTTGTAGCAATTATTACAGGCGATGAAGTAAACTCTTCCTTCAGGTTTTAGCTTATTGTTTTGTTTAGTATTGACTATGTCTTTTATTGTTTTGGATGTAGTAGTAACAACTTTTATGTTGAGTTTAGATCGATTCTTTCCGATTATAGATGTGACAGAATTAGTAGGCAGGATAATATATTTTTTGACTCATTGGGACTCTCATAAGGGGACTTTTTTTTTTGCTTTGGAATATTTTATGAGCCGGCCTTTTGTTTCGCATTGAATATAAAATATTAAGGTATTGGAGAAGGGTACTTTTTGAGGTTGAGAACTTTTCTACATCCCTTCAATATGGAGAACAGGCACGTGAAACCATTTTCAAACAGTGGGCCGCATGAGGTACGGTAAATCACTAAAAATAACCGAGAAAACCCAACAAAAGACCATGCAGATCAACATCTGCCTTAAAAATAGGGAAAAGTCAATTCTCTTTTCTTTGGAGAAAAGATTCCTTCTATAATTAAAAACAAAAAAAAAACTGAAATTTTGGTATAATATCACCGTTGATAAAAGAGTGATTAATACACAGTGCTGCATGTGATTTGTTTCTAATTTATTCATTTGGCCATACAAAAATATTTGTAAATGAAGAAATATATTTATCTCTAGAAAAAAAATGATTATTATTGACGTTTCCTGTCCCTCAAGCAAAAGACGTTAACACGAATGATCTTCCTCAGTGAATATCGCCAATGGTTTAAAATGATGAAAATGTTACCTTCAAAGAAAACTTACAAAATTCAAGAAACATTGCACTTAAAAAGTGTGAGTGTGTGGTGTGTGTGAGAGAGAGAGAGGGGGGGAACAAGTGAGAAGGAAAGAAAACAAATAACATTTTAATAAATGTTATTTTCCTCATGAAATTAGGTGTGGCATTCAGAAAGCCAATCGGGCCGCATATGGCTTCTGTTTGCCCGCAGGGTCGCTGTTTGCCCATGACTGATGTAGAGTATGGAATAAACTTCAAATAACATAAAGGCCTTTAAAAAAAAATACTTTTGATACACAAGACTAGCTACAGTAAGGTTACAATTAATATGAGTGCCAGCTCGGGGTTGTGGAGGAGATCAGGTCATTTGCTCCCTCCTTGGATCGACAGGTCAATTGCACTTATACACGTTTATACTTATTATTACTTTATATTTGTACACAATACTGGTACGACACCATAAAATAAAAATAGACGGCGTGCTAAATTTCATATAACATTTAATCTAAGTTTTTAAGATTCCTATTCTATATTTTTTATCTGACCATCTCAAAAAATTCATGTTTCCCGTAGAAATATTATCATACTGTTAACTTTTTTCTTTTTTGATTTTAAATGCACAATGTTTGCTTTCCGCTTGCATTTAATATCTGAAATGAGACTGATAGACTCTAACTGCATATAAAACATAAAATCAGAAAAATTAAATTTTCTGATTTATTTGAAAATTAACAGCAACTAAATCATTACTTGTTTTTACTATTGTTCACACAATACAAAGCCTAAGTGCCACTCAAGGTATAGGGTTACTGAATGGGAATGTTGTAAGCGCGTATAGAGAATGAGCAAAGGTTGAATATTATGAGGAGATGTCGAATAGATAACGGTTGAGTCACGACCTGAAGAGCTTAAGATTAGTGATGAGGGAAGCATTCCCTCGGGAGTCTGTCTCACATTGCAACAATTCGCATTACGGCTATTAATTCAATAGCATTTTCATAGATTGAGACCAAGAAGACAAATTTAGTTTTCAGTTCCAGCAATAAAGGCGAATGGAGCAGTACAATTATTTCATATAACTCCAAATTCGTGTTCCTGCCATAGAGTTGCTTCTGATATATATTCAGAGTGTCTCTTTATACTTTTCTCGAATGCCTACGCAATTAACATTTTAAATGTTACTATACGATAGATATCACATTATGTATGTGTGTTTGATTTCGTGAATTTGAGTGTATACGTGCATATGCATAAACTCTCTATTTGGAGTCCAACATTTAAGGCAGATCAGTATTTCATAACGTATCTTCTGCATCTCTGATTGTGTGACGCCGCCATATTTGCTCTCTTCCTTCCAGTGCAATGCAGCTCATTATGTTTCCCTGGTATATATTTTCTGAAAGAAAGAATTTCAACAGTGAGTCAATCAGGATCATTGCAAGGATGTTCGGCGCCCTGTGCGACCTTTTCTCTGTGTTTCTCTCTCTCAATTTTGTAATGGCTCTGTTACAAACGGTTGCTACTCCAGATAATAGAATAATCTATTATGGCGTCCATCTTGGCTACTCAACAAGTTGACTGTTTCAATAATATATTACCCAAAATATAAATAATCGTAATAATAAAGCAATGAATTATTCAAACCCATAATGCAAGATCTCCGATTGAAAACTAAAAATGCGCTGAAGAAGAAAAAAATAGTAAAAATGGTATAGACATCACACTGAACCAGTTATAGAAGATCATGAAATCATTATTCTTTGGGACTTTACCATGCATACTTACAGACATATAAAAGCACATAGACCAGATATAATGATTAAAAATTACAAACAAAATATTTGCCATCTCATAGATACAACAGTGCAAACAGATAAAAATATATCTTTTAAATAATATGATAAAAGTAAAGCTGAAAAAAGGTAGCCCCTTAAAACTACTATTTTACCTATAATAACTGGAAACCTAGGTATAATCAAAAAAAGTACAGACCGGAATATTAAAAAGAACTTGTTTAGAAGAGATTAAAGTATTGAACTTTGTGGAATTGTTCATCTACTCAAAAGAATATGTTCAATGTAAAGAAAAATTTTTTAAATGTACATGATAAATATCCCTTAACATCAGAATCCTATATATTTACTACCTCTATATATTTCGATAGGTCTCTGGTAATGACTCAATAAGGCAGGATTTCCCAACCCGAGCGATATCGCACACTGGTTGGCGATTTCAACGGTTGGGTGGGTGATGAGTAACTGAACAGAAAATGGTAGGCAATTGGAAATTTTAGTAGGCGATATAAGATTTTGAGTATTAAAAGAGTATTTC